AGAGAGAGAGAGAGAGAGAGAGAGAGAGAGAGAGATGCTGCCACGTTCTTTTTTTTTTTCAATCGCACGCTCGGGAAACTGTAATCGCTCGAGTTTATCGCTCAATTTATCGCGACAGACCGCAGATATTATTAACACGAATTATTCTTTATACTGCGACGAGGTCGAATGCGGTTTTCGCTCGATGATATACGCGCAAAATTTTATATCGGAGTGGATAAATAAATCGTTGAATGAAGAAAGTAAACGAAACGTAATATACGATTGTTTCGAATTTTTCCATACACGCGAGATATTTCTTTTTCCCTCCTCCCCTCCCTATAATTTTTAATACAGTTAAGAATTTCAATTTCCTTCTCTCCAGTCAATCTATCCCCTTTTGTATTTTTTCCATAATTATAAAAAAGAATTCTATTAACTCTATTTCCATATCTTTTCCCATTACCTGGAATTTCGTTCGGCTGGAATCCGAGCTTTCGATATGATAAATTTCTTCTTCTCCTATTATGTACGAATACGAATGTACACGAAGATACGGAGGACGAAAATAATATGGAAAAAAAAAAAACGAAATTCGAACTAAAGACAGGGATTCCATTGCGAAGCGTGGAAATTACCATGGAACCAAAAAAAAAAAAAAAATTATACAGCTTATAAAGATTAAAAGATTAAAAAGATATAGAAGATATAAAGATTAAAAAGCGTCTTCCACACCTCAAGGCTCAAGTTATCCTCGTGATTATTCCCCGCACCGCCTCCCCGGCCAAATAATTACATACGTACAGACGGTGGTACAATGGAGATAACCAGCCCAGTATACATATTTCCTCCATCTACAAATTGATTCCGTTGTACGGGACGAAAAATTCACCCACGTACCTCACCCATTTCCTTTTCACCCTCCCTCCATTCGCCTTCCATTTCTTTCCCTTTTTCCTTTCTTTCTTTCGCTTTTCACCTCGCCTCGGTCGAGCAACTCGCCTGGCGCAATGCAACCAGGGATCGGTGATTTTCTAGCCGCAACGTGAGAGAGAGAGAAAGAGAGATAAAGAAAAAGTGACGGTCGAAAAATTCGCCGATTCACGGGAGAAGCAAGGGTGTCGACGAAGAGAGACAGAGATTAAATCGAAGAGAAAAAAGAGAAAAAAGAGAGAGAGAGAGAAAGGGAGGGAGAGAGAGAGGGTTTCGTCGCAGGTATTTATTTTAGTTCATCGATTTCCCAGGCTGGCTACCGTATACGGGATGGCTACCTGTATGCATGCAAAGTAATAGCCCCAGGCTGACGGACTAGCGCCTCTGCCACTTGCCGGGTACACTTGATCGCAAAAGTGCACCCTCCTAGTCACCCTCCTTCCCCCCTCCCAACACCCCTCTCGCGACGGCTTTGACGTTAATGGTCGATCGATCGGCCGAGAGACAGGTGCGTGGTAACGGTGTCGGCAAAAATAATCTTCCATCTATCCATCTATCGTTATGCGCATCCTATGTTCGAAATACGCTTCGAAATTCGTCTCCGCTTTTCTCCTTCTCTCGATTCTTTTCTTTTTTCTTTTTTTTCTTTTTCTTTTTAGAATACTCGCTCCCGTTCGTTTTCAATTTCTTCAAGCTTATTCTCCTTTAGCTCGGATCAGAGCTTCGGAGTTGGTCGTTAACCCAACTTGAAAGACTTCGAGGTGAAAAATTTCGAACGTAGTTACTTTAAACAATTACTCGAATTAAAATGTTCGAATGTAACGTATAATCTCGATTGTTTGATATCGATAATTATTTCCGATTATTATCCGCGCTTTGAACTTTATTTATTCTCAACTGTTAAATTTTGTCCAACGCCAATTTTTTCTTTTTTATCTCGTAATTTCACTCCACGTTCGACGTTAGTGAAACCGACGATGGTGGCGCATCGATCGATT